GTCCGCAGACTTACCGCTGTGCCACTGAGTAAAGGACAGACAGAGTAAAGAAAATAAGTTTGTAAACAAAAAAAAAAGTCTCTGCACAATGTAGTACACTAGATTGATTTATATAGCGAAACTTACCATACACAAATTGCAAAAGAATCGTGAATTTAAATTTATCATTTGAAATGCTTAATCAAACAGAAAATAATGCAACAATTTCCAATCTTTTTCAGAAACCAATCGTTTCGTTTTTAGAGGTATTATCGGTTATTCGAAGTTTATATATATCGAATATATAACGAAAACCACACATAAAACAATACTTTGGTCAATATATCTATTCCACGGTCATTATAAAGATGCATTGCGAGACAATGTATTTGATCATCGATTCGCACTGTTTAAGTTACTTTACTTCTATGTAAAAGCACAATTAGTCTGCAGTGAGATGTAAAAGAAAAAAAAAACACTACTTCTGTAAGGACCGTACATTCTAGTTCTTTCTTTTCGTAGATAGTTGATTGATGAGTGTTTGTAAATTGAGTGCTGTATATTTAAAAATGACTTTATAAAATTTATTATACGATCAATCGTAAAGTAATCGTATAGACAGGACGTATTTTACGATCCTTGTCTCGCAGCAAATTGAGCATTGGTACTGTACGATAATGAGAATTTCGAACTTGGTGAGTGAAGCGAGATATGCTGTTCGCTACTTTATTGTGCTATAGGAAAACTATGTTCGTATATTTCATAAGTTCTGGTCCCTTTGATTATAGTACGGCTTTATAATGAACCAAACTAAATGATTATACGTTGTCGCGAGTAAATAACGGATAAAACAAATTATAGATCAACAAATCGTAACTTTCAAAGTATTTATAAAAGTGAACTTGATTGTTTTATTAATATCAATAGAAAATCACAAAATACCAAGCTTTTAATACGGGACTGTGTTATTGTGTAGAAGACCAAAGATAACACTGGTTAGAATCGATCTCTGATGTGTGCTATGAGACTGAAGTTCAGTGAGAGAACGCTGGATATAATCCATCCCAGATATGTGTTATGGTTTTAAGACTTGAAAGAAAACACTGGATAATCTATCACAGATAGGGGATAAAGACCAGAAAGAACGCTTGATATAATTTCTATAAAATATATGACTAAAATCTCAACATTTATTGACATCTTGCAACGTCTAACTAATTATAAAATGTGCTATTTATATAAATAATACGCTTACGTTTTTCTGTTTGTCTGTCCAGACCTTTTCTTGCAAATTTCTCAATCAAACACCACATATCTCATACCGTTAGAAAAGCCTTTGTCCAAGGAGTCTGGATGGCACATTGGCTTTTCCATTTAGAATAATCTTTTACTTAGTCAAACTTTGTAATACAGCAATTATGCTACATGATGGCACAATGTTGTTGTCATCACGTGACAAATGTCTTCGATTTCAATTTTTGTTTTTTATTTGTAAAGTACTTCACACAAACTACATTAATCCATGTATAATTTCCTCAAAAATGTGCGTTACACTAATATACAACTCCTATGGGCTTTCTCGACTTATTTAGGTCTAAAATACGTATGTGCATATATTTTTGCGCAATTGATTCAAACCACATGCTTTTCGCTTTTTGAACACGCATTCAGACGTTTCTGCATATTCAGCTAAGTTTGCCTTCATTAGAACTTTACATTTACTTTACTTTGCAATAATTTAGCTTCGGTTCGTTTCATATACTGCTATAAACATCTTTAAGCTACCATTTTTTTAGTACGAGTTTTATTCTTCGTTTTTGTTAGTTTCTTTGTTTCAATTCGTATAACATGTCATATGTTTAACGCTCATAACTGTTTCATACTCTGTAGACTATTATATATACCGTTACTATACTTTATTGTTTACTTTACGTGTAGTTTTATTAAATAAAGTTACGTCTACGTGAATGTGTTTGTCTGACTGCGTAAAATATTTTCAAATAGATCAGGATTTATTCATGCAAGAAGCCGTAGCTTAAATGCTGTGCATGAAAATGATAGAATAGAGAAAATTCAAACGAAGAGGATGAAACTACTGCAAATGTTTTGCGGGTCGCTGCTAGTTAGTAATAACGCTGTTACTAGGGTTTGTTTGGTTTACAGTTTCCGCGCTAAGCTACGCAAAGCTCATCTATTTTGAGCTGACAAACTAGAGAGCATCACCCATTACAAACTCATGGACTAATTTAGTTTGATCGAATAATGTGATTTGACCTTCACTTTTATACCACCTCTTTGCTCCAAGGTGCAAAACGAGTTTTTTTTTCAGCAATGGAACACGAGCCAAGAACTCTATAATTCACAGTCCAGGCACGCTAATCACTTGGCCACGCTTGGTCCTGTTATTTGGGAGAAGAATAAGAAATGTTTAATGCCCAATAGCAGAAACGACTCTATTTCAAAACCTAATCCGTTTTTTTTTGCCAACTAAACTAACGTTACTCCCCTTCATTACCTTGTCAGGACTCTTCAATGCCACCGTTTACGAAACCCAGACTGATACAGAAGCGACACTACTAAACTGATTCTGACAGGTTATTTATCAAACTTCCTAGCCTGACTTGTGGATGAATGTCTTTAATATGGACATACAATTTATTTCATAATGATACACACATAAGTTTCAAAATGATACGAACTTAAAAATTGAGTGCATTCGATCTCAACTGATTTAGAAGAGCTATGTGTGTATGGAACTCATTTGTATCAAAGTGAGAACATCTTGGATTGTTCAAATGCTGATTTCAGGATAGAACAAAGAATTTTTCATGTCAGTAGGTAACGACTGGTTTGGTTTTTTTTGTTTTTTAATTTCGCGCAAAGCTACACGAGGGCTATCTGCGCTAGCCGTCCCTAATTTAGCAGTGTAAGACTAGAGGAAAGGCAGCTAGTCATTACCACCCACCGCCAACTCTTGGGCTACTCTTTTTACCAATGAATAGTGGGATTGACCGTAACGTTATAACGCCCCCACGGCTGAAAGGGCGAACATGTAGGAAATGAATAGACTAAAATGTAACAAAATACTATGAGACGAATAAAGCGAATTCGTTTCCTTTTAGACAAATCGCCTTCTGTTTATACGAAGCCTTGGAAAGCAGAATATGCCCATGTATCGTTTTATAACTTACTTATTTGTCAACTGTGAATGTTATCTTTTATTGTGCACCAGGCAGTATATAACATTATAATGTTTCTTTATTGATTTGTTTGTTTGTAATTAAGCACAAAGCTACACAATGGGCTATTTATGCTCTTCCCGCCACGGGTATCGAAACCCGGTTTTTAGCGTTGTAAGTCCGCAGCTATACCGCCCTGCCACTAGGGGCCACGTTTTTCGCACATAACCTGTTAGTACGTACACCAGTAATTGATTTACACGTAGATATGTCTTTTAGAGAATACGATTTTAAATATACTTAAGCTTAACGATGACGCAATGTAAAAATCATGATCCAACGTGGTTGTTATAACAGTAGTTTTTCTTTTTCATTAATACTACTTTCACGTATATAACTGAACTACATTGTTTAAGTAAAAAAGTAAAAAGTTTAAGTAAAAATGAGTTATTAACTAAATAACGGGCCACGATGAGCTTTTTCTTAAAAAAAACAAACACACAGACACACACTGATTTGGGTTTGGTAACGAATGTTAAAAGATTAAGAAAGTAACTGGTTTATCATTTCTCAAATAAGACCTCAATCCTCAAATTATAGACTTGTTTTTATACCGCTCACTACCTATGGGTTCACACATTGGATCATATTAAGTGTTTCGAGATTTTATCTTTTCTCTGTTACGTCACTGGGCGTAATGAACTGACCAAAAAACTGGGCAAAACCATTATTTTTCTATGTAAGACATATAGAGGATTCTGGCAGTACTTGCGATAAGAATAGGATTCTAATTTATTTTATTTTTTTGGATTTGTATTTTATTAGCGCCCACCTCCCCTCCCCCGTAACTGACAGAGTCTTATGTATACAAACTTTAGTCCCGTGATAGATAAAGTTGAATACGGTTTGTGTGTTATGTATGCTGGTTTCTCTGTTTATATGAAATGTAACTAACAAACGTTTTTTTTTAAATCTCTGCATATTTCTTCATTCTATTTTAATAATCTTTATTCGCATTCTATTAGTCAATAATTTTATGAATTATTAAACAGCTAGAGATTCACTAATGTGTAAAAATACGTCCAAAGTATCATCACAAACGTCAGACGTATATCTTTTCTAAACAAGACCACTTGGAAAAGAAAAATTTAATTTTAGATAGTTACAAAGTAAAAAGTAAAAAGAAAACGAACTTTAATACAAAAAGTAACTTAAATTATGAAGTACCATACACTTGTTTGTAAGTAAGCACAAAGCTACACAATGGGCTATTTGTACTCTGTTCACCACGGGTATCGAAACCCGGGTTCTAGCGTTGTAAGTTCGCAGACATACCGCTGTGCCACTGGGGAGTTCTATGTTGTTGTTCGTCGATTTGCTAGAGAAATGTTATTAACAGTTTCATTTTACGGTATTTTTCTGGTAATTCGATGAAAAATTATCAGAAATATTAAAGAAAACTCTAACAAATAATTGTGAGGTTAAATGAGGCAAAAAATACTGGTTAATAGTACAAATCTTAAGATTTGACATATATTTAAAGTAATTTAAGTACTGACAAAATATTTATTGTTTATAATTAATAATTACGATAAATACTTCATATCATTTTACATAATAAACAAATGCACCAAGAAATCTAATAAGTCATTTTCTGTGAAGAATGTGTTTTTCTGGAGTAAGACGCATCCAGGTTCTTAATAATTCCAAATTATTATTAAAATAGCAGAGACCTACAAAAAATATGCAGTCAAAATAGTATCTATATAGCAACAACAGTACTTCTTTAAGTACAGGATTTCTAGAATAATATACAAAAGAATTTTAATCGCATTCACCGAAATCTGTAAGTCCACTTGTCTTAGGCCTAACATTCGTTAAGCCTTTATCAAGTACGACCTAAGTTCGATAAAGAGATAAATTAACACTGAGCTTGTGTACTTCTTAGTTTAGTTAAGGCTAAACTTTACTGTGTTTAATACCATCAGTAAATAAACTTAAAATGTTATTACATGACCTAATGATTGACCTTTTTAAAAACTTTGATAAGTTTTTAATATGTTGTTGTACAAAATGTTCACTGAAGTATATTTACATCCGCCTTATATTTACACCTGTTGAAATGAAGTGCGCGTGCCTGCGCATTTAGATAGCAAGATGCGCGTGCATTTTCAAGACAGACTGAATATTGTTATAGAAGCTTTATAAAAATCGTATACATAACTGTATAGCGAAAACTGTTTCTACAAGTAAGATCTTGTTTTGGAAATACTCTTATTACTATGTTTGTACACTGTATATGTATAAGGATGCTGTAAAGTAAATATTTGTGTGAAGTAACTGACAGACGATTTGCACAAATAGATATCAACAAGTTGTTTTCGTTTTAAAATAATGAGTGTTTGTTTTGCGAGTTTTTGAATTAACGAGCAATGAGCTTCAGCAGAGGGTTTCCTAGTGTGCAGCTGATCACAAATTCTGCACCTGTAAAAATATTTGTACAGTTGAAAATTTACCTATATAAGTAAGTTCGAGTGGATAAATATTAAAAAAAGAAACATACTTAAGATTATGAAATTCCATTCCAGAGTTGATAAATATATGTATTTACTGGAATATTCTTCATTTTTGGATCATTTGTTACTAGACCTGTATATATATATATATATTAGGTGTAATAAGGCATCATGGGTTAAAAAATGATATAGTTAAAATATAATTGTGCAGTTGAAAAAAAAAAACATTAGGAAAAGCTCTGAACTTCAAATACCCAAACTGATAGAAAAGCAAGAGCTTATGTAAGTATGTAAGTATGTAGGCTGAGAGAATACACTAGTGTTGTTGTTTGTTTTTTTGAATTTTGAGAAAAATATTAAGATACTTCCCAAAAAATTGACCGTCACAGTTTAACAACAAACTGAAGTTTTTATTTCTGCTTGTTGCCTTTTTAAAATGACGGTCTTCTAAAAAAAAAAACAAAACAAAACAACAACGGTGGTATGAAAATCTGTAAGTACCTGGATAAGATATTCGTATTATATGACTTCATACTGTACAACCTAGAGGCGCTGAGTATAATTTGTCAAAGGGCTTATTTCAGAACAACAATCACATAAGGATAAAGTTAAAAGTGTGAGAAGTCAAAACGATGAAGGGGAAAATAACCTCTTGATGATATTTTTTGAAGTAAAACACCCACTCTTTGAGCTTGTCTTAAAGCAAGCTAGCAACTTAGATGAAAACTAAAAGTCAGCCTGGTAACGAGTATAGCTGATAAAGTATATTTTCTGACGTTCTTACCTATAAATATCAGAATGCATTGTTTCGTCATTTGTTAATAATATTTCGGGGAAGGTTTAGCCAGCTTTGGAAATTTAGATCAGTCCTAAATCCTTACACTAAGCTAACAATGGAAATCTATCTCTATAATAAATGTAAAAATTATAAAACAAAATATAAATAACAAGACTAGACAAATGAAACATCCGAATCAATAGAACTAGTAAACCTCATTTAGCCAAGAAGGGGTGGGAGGAGCAATCGCTTTGCCTTAAAAATAGCTATATTAAAACCATAGTGTTACAAATAATAATAATAGAAAAGTGATTTTAGATATAGATTGGACCTCATCCCAAGCATAATAAAGGCGAGTTTTAAAATGGTATTATTATTATTATATGAAATAAAATATCACCCCTTTCGGCCGTGGGTGCGTTATAATGTGACGGTCAATCTCACTATTCGTTGGTAAACCAACACCCTGGGGTGCCAGGATATCTCTTGTAAGTTTTGCGACAGTGTTCGGTCATGTGACCTCTTTGTTCCGTACTGTATATATATATATCTGTGTTAGTGTAAACTACTTGTACCCGATGATGACAAAACCTTGTCGAAACGTTGTACATTTGCTGTTATGTTAAACTTATATTAAAGTTTTTCTTCATTATCCACTCAAGCCGTCTCCAAGCATTATTAGTCTCAAAGTGGGTTCCTCTAATCGAAAGTGAATTCCATTGTTCGTTGGTATAAAGTAGACCAAGAGTTGGCGGTGGGTGGTGATGACTAGCTACCTTCTCTCTAGTCTTTCACTGCTAAATTAAGGAGGGCTAGCGCAGATAGCCCTCGTGTAGCTTTGCGCGAAATTCAGAACAAACCCAAACCTTTTGGTATTAATATTTGATCAATTTTATAGAATAAACAAAGTATCCGTTTCCTCGTTTTAATTATTGTATGCACAAACAAAAACAACATTAACTGTCCTAATTACTATCGCTGTACGGAACAAATTTATACAAATCCGTAAAAAAAATCATCAGTTACATAGTTCACATAATGATGAAGCGATAGCAGAACCAAAATTGCTTATTTTCCGTTCGTAAATAGATGTCCCTAGTTCTAAACTGATAGACTTTTTGGCTACTCCAATCGAATAGTGGGATGTGACTATTACTCTTATTATGCATCCATGGCTCAAAAGAATAGAATGCAATTTTGCAGTAGTAAGATGTGAACCATGAATCTTCGGATCCATAGTCCGGCACGTTAACCACTTGGTCACGCCTGGTCATGTATCAAGACCATAAAAATAAACAATGCAATGCGAAATATAAATCGTGAAGATCAACACAGGACTATAGGCTATAAAATAGTTTGAACTAATAGGCTATAAAATAGTTTGAACTAATTTCTAGAAAATGCATAATTAGCCAGGGGAAAAAAAAGCCTGCTTTAGGTATAAATAAAAAAAATAATAAAGATGATAACCTACGTGAAAACATTGGATCAGATTGTGGTGCTTATTGATTGTATTTAAAAAGATAGCCAATGTAAAGTTATGTAAAGTTTCCCTATTTCTTTTTCGATACTCTTTTAGGGTGGAAATAATATTCAGACAAGAAAAGGAAATACAATAAAACACTTCCTGATTGTAAGACTTTTGAATCAACGTCATTGAGAGTGTAAACAAAATTGTGCATTTATATAATGATGTAATATCTTAAATAGGTTTGTTGTGAAAACTTTGAGTTATTTGTTTATTTATGTGAAATGGTGTTACTTTATTTGGTGTAGTTATATGTATGTTACGTTATATGATGTAGTTATATGTACGTTTCGTTATATGATGTAGTTGTATGTATGTTTCGTTATATGATGTGGTTATATGTCTGTTACGTTATATGATATAGTATGTTATATTATATGATGTATTTTTATGTATGTTACGTTATTTGATGTAGTTATATGTATGTTTCGTTATATGATGTAGTTATATGTATGTTTACGTTATATGATGTAGTTATATGTATGTTACGTTATATGATGTAGTTATATGTATGTTACGTTATATGTAGTATGTTACGTTATATGATGTAGTTATATGTATTAAACGTGTACACACTGATGGCTTCTGAAATTTTGTAAATTAATATTAACTCTGATCAAATTTTGTTTGTTTGTTGTCAAGTGCAAAGATGTACAATGTACTTTTTGTATTCTGCCCAGCACGGTGTCGAACTCGAAACTCAGTTTTTAGCGTTACAAGACTTACCGTTGCCACATTAAAAGGAAAAAAAAAACTTTGTAAAGAGCTTTCCGAGCAGAGGAAAATGAAAGTGATACGTTTTTAGTGGCTGCACAAAAGTGTATTATTCTTTTATCAACAACTCTGAAAATATAAAGATGTTGGTTACGCGCAAAACACTAGAGTTCAGAATGCTCTTGGTATTGTGATAACCATGATAAAACTTGCAAAAAGTGCAACTTGATGGTTGTATCTAGTAACCCATAACATTTCATCAACTGTCTTTCATTTCCTGTGGAACTAACTAACAGACTGACGAAAAACCGTGAGAAAAGACCTGAGCTAGAGAATATTGTAGGGCGGGAGATAAAAACCAATTTTCCCAGTCACCATAGAGAACGAAAGTTGGAAGAGGCTTATATCGGATGAATCGCCTAGTAATACAGCAGACAGAAGTATTCCTGCTCTAAACGAGGCCACCTGTGCATTTCCCACCGCAATCGAAAACAAACTCGAAGAGAAGGCATGCTCAGCCAAATACACCGTTCTTCGCTGGCCAAGCCTGTCCGATCCGCCTCTGTGCAATCACATCATTTTGTGTTTACTACTGATTTTGATATAAAGTTTCTTGTTTATAGAATCCTTGAGGCGCAGTTCTTCCAGTGAGAGTAATATTAGCTAAAGAAGTAACTTGAAGTGTTGGAAGAAATTACCTTACTTTATCATTGCTGGTTCTTGTCTGTAAGCATTCCCACAGAGCTAACAAAAAATAGAATTACAGAAAAGAATATAAAAACTTTCCTAATCAGTAAGTTGATGGGAAAAAAATTAATATTATTCGAATTATTGTCCAGTGTGAAGTTTTTATAATTCAGAAACAAAGAGAGAAAACAGGTATTTAATTAAAATTTACAAGGTGTCGTGAAAACTTAAGATGGCATCCTATGTGGTGTTTCTAGTTTGCTGTTGCCACAAGTCGGTCGTTTAGGCCTAATAGAACAAGTGTAATTTCTAATACACTTCATCTGTTGAATTTTCTTTCCTAGCAGTAATAATAATAATATCTATATACATGTTACTAGACATACGCTACAGAGTCTTTATGGCTGAAGCATTACACTGGTATCTTTTGAGTTTAAGGTATTTAAGAGTATAGGAATTAAAACTAAGATGTGTTTGAAGGACAATAAACTGATAATCATACAGCACGTGACAATCTACGACTATGGCCAAACGTTTTGCATCACACGATAATTATCTGATTTGTCTTCGTGAAATAGAATAGAACCTTCTGAATGATATTTTACGGTTTCAGTCTGCAAGGAGGAATCTAATGGATAACTCGACTTTTTTTTAGCGTTTCAGTGAGTCCATGCTTGCGAGGACTAAGGAAGTCTTGAAAACTCATGAAATACAGTGCAAATATTAAGTATTACTAATATGGCTTCTGGTAGACTTTTGCGATATTATTTTATAGTTTCTTTGATTAAATTATTTAAAATAAAATATATATAATTTACGTTCACATATTTTTCTATTTAGATTATGCTTTATTCCTAAAATTTTAGAGCGATACCAAACTTTTAGCTATATCTGTATAAAGCTATATCTTTTAGCTATATTGGTATGAAATCGTGTAGCTTACCAAAGAGTATTCGAGGTGCTGACCAATAGTTTACGTCTTCAAAAGAAACATACACAAACTTAAAGTTGACCATTCTATTTTAGAAGTCGTATTTGTTAACTATAATACGAACCAACTTCCTGTTGCTCAATTTGATCAAGGACCTTTGATCTTCGGCCTGGCATGGCCATGTGGTTAGGGTGTTCGACTTGCAATCTGTGAGTTGCAGGTTCGAGTCCCCATCCTACCAAACATGCTCGACAGTCGAGGCAGTGAAACGTCGGTAAATTCCTTTGTGAGCCAATTAAAATTAATTCGTGGCGTATTCATAGAATAATTATCGGTAAAAGTCAGTTAGGTTAATAACTTCTAATACATAGAAAAGCCAATGCGTTTTGGTAACACTAGGTTCTAACAATGGCTTTTATGTCACGTTGCTTAGCAACAAAAGTATAACCTAATATTGTTATTAGTCTATGTACTGAAAGTATAAAATGAAATGCATAGATAACAAAACTGAAAAAAATATTTGTTGATTTCTTAATTTAGAGTTTCCGTTGATTGAAGAGATTGGTTATATAACAGAAAATAGCTAGCTCTAGGCTAGGTGATCAAACATTACGTATTTACTTTAGGCTCATTATACCAACACTCACTACACTTATAAGGTTTCACGGCACACTACCCTTTCACCAACCCAAATCGTAATGGGAAGACGGTAATCGAACTATTCTATCTGGATAAATGCATTTTACCTTTTACGACTCCTCATATTTCGAGAAATCAACCGGCTTTTATATAGGTTAGATGAAATAAGTTATGGTTCTGAATAGTAAACGAAATAATAATTTTGGAAGCACATTAGGTTTCTGTTGCAGCCAAGCTAAAAACTTGAACAGTCCATTCCTTCTATTTGTCTTTCATTGTGCTCACTTTTAAGACTGAACTAACGAACGATAAATATCAAGAAAAACTTTCATACTTTTATGGTAACAAGGTAACAAATAACAGTTCCGTATTCGTGTCATATGAGAACTTTTCTGCCTCTTTATTGGTCAAGCTTGATTTCGCAAATGTATTTATTTCAGTTAGTTATGAAATGTGAGGTTAGGGTATACTGTGGGGTTGGGTAAGATGGGGGTGGTAGTACTTGCCACGTCATTTTTCACGGGCTATACGCCAGTTACTTTATGATCACGCTTTTAATTAGCATTGATAAATCATTATTAACGAAAAGAGCAGCAAACACTGGTCGATTTTAACATTTTTTTTTCTAAAATGGCGTAAGACAATTCATTAGAAATACATACAATAACAATTTTAGTTTTTTATATATAAAGTAACATGTTTTATTTTTTCAAGCATTCAAGTATGTGAATTGTAACAAAAGTTGAGCGTCATTTTCCCAGCTGAAAGCTCTCATTCACTTGGCAAATTAGTTTGTTGATAACAGAAAAAAAAATCTAAAAACGTAGTGACTCAGTACTGAACGAAGAATAAGTGCTATACTAAAACAGAACATTGTTCCCTGTTTAAATTTGCATATTGTACCGGAAAGCTAAAATTTGAAGTACGTTAAACATAGAGCACTTTTCAGATCATTTATTTTGAAATTTCCGAAACTTTTTATAGAAAAATCTGAAAAAAAGGCAACAAAACGCAGGAAGTAAAGCTGATTAAAATAAAATATTTTATGGTTTTGAAAGAGGAAGAATTCAAGCAATTGTTTTATCAGTTTGTGAAGAAAGTCTAAACGTTATAGAACAAACAAATCAGGGATTTATATCTGATATCCTTTTAAGCTAAGCTTTTTTTTTTTTAATTCACTCATT